AAATTTCCTGCGTGCCTTCGAATTCAATTTAAGACATTTTAAGGGACCTTTTCACACGGCACACTTACATGCATGTTAATGGTGTACAATAAAATTTCAAGGCACTTATAATGCCTGTCCAAATTATGTTAAGGCATTGTAATGATCCTGGGTAATGCGGGATGAGCCTTACATTTTAAGGCCATGAAATGATAGTGTAAGCATGTAAAGGGTAGCAAGGCAAATTCAGACAATTTCAAGACTCGTCGCTTGTATTTCGATGCTCTCACTGGAATTCCCAATTAATATTAATATTAATAATGGTAATAGTAATAATAATAACAAAAAAAAACAAGTGCGAGCAGAAAGAGTATTCAGCGGTAAGGAAGGTAATAGAACGATGTTGGTACTATCCAGTGCAAGATTATTAGTGAAGCTGAGTGCGAGTGGTAAGGAAGATAGAATTATGTTGCCAATGGTATCCAGCAGAGTGGTGAAGCTGAGTGCGAGCGGATGTGTGAGGTGAATGGGAGTAGGAAGACGGTCCTAAGGAAGGTAGAATTATGTTGGTATCCTGGACCAGTGCGAGAGTGGTGAAGCTGAGTGTGAGCGGATGTGTGAGGTGAATGGGAGTATTATTGGGAAGACGGTCCTAAGGAAGATAGAATTATGTTGGTATCCAGCATAATAAGAATAGTAGTAAAACTTACCATGATGTTGAAAGGTGGCATTAATTGATGCAGTGCGAGCGGATGCATGTTACAGTAGTCGACGAAGGAATTTTCGGAGCTGATGACGACGTCTGTTCAAAGGAGGAAATGGTTGAAATGAAAGAAGTCTTAATGGAAGCGTTGATAAGAAAAAAGCTCAACTTGTTGGCCTTGTGATTATACTACCCTAATTGGGATGACTTAGAATGCGGCTGAATCAAGAGGTGCGCAATGTGCTGTTGGGCGAGGCATCCGAGAATTAATAGCTGTGAGACGCATCAGCGTGCAATATGGTAGTCAGGTAAATCAACTTGCATGGTGCAAAAACTCCGTTGTGTAGGTAAACAAATCAGAGGGTGACAAGATCAACAAATTTAAGTAACTACTTTCTCCCTGACGCCTTCCTCGCTGTCGTTTGGCACCACCATTGCGTGTAACACGCTTGACTACTGGAGGAGGAGCCAAAGGAATGACAGGGACCACGTCTGAGTCCACGGGAGTCTGAGCAGCCTGAGCAATAGCTCGACGTTGAGCTGCAGACACCCTACCACCCTTGCCAGAAGATGCGGATGGTGGCAAGTCAGTTCTAGCGGCATCGAGCGACAGCTGACCAATGTCAACTTCGAGTTGGAGTTGTGTGGTGGTGGCAGGCCCTCCTGGATTGCTGATAGACATACAGTGGCTCAAAAAACCGTCCGTATGTTTTGGCATTTTTCACTATCTATAATATTGTGTGAGAACAAACAAATGCCTCAAAAACATGCTTATACCACATTGTAGTATGGCTTCAGGGCTTTCATTTGAGCCCTACACCGTGGGAATCGGTGGAGATATGGTGGAGATACAAGGCTCACAAAATGGTGACTCATGCGGACAGTTTTTTGACTCAAGTATTTTACAGTAATAACCAGGTATTCTAGTATTTTGTATGACCTCCCTTGGCTTTAATTACTGCCTCTATCCTTCTAGGCATACTCTCAATTAATTTCTGGCAATCCTCAGCTGTGATCTTCCCCCATTCCACTGCTACTCTCTCCCAAAGCTCCCATACTCCTTTAGGGGGGTTTTCATAGGCTTGAAGCTTTTTCTTGAGTGTTCCCCAGAGATGTTCAATGACATTGACATCAGGAGACTGTGCTGGCCAGTCAAGAACATTGATGTTATGTTCTTCAAACCATTCCCTAGCTCTTCTGGATGTGTGCTTGGGATCATTATCCTGTTGGAAAATGATATCTTCTTCATCAATCCCTGATTCTGCCAAGCTAGGCAGCAAGTGGTCATTTAAAATGTCCACATACTGCTCAGCATTCATCTTCCCCTCAACCTCAGCAAGCATTCCCACACCATTCCATCCCATACAGCCCCATACCATTAAGAACCTCCTCCAAACTTGACAGTCCCATTAACCTCTCTGTCTGTTAGGCCATCTCCCTTCTTTTTCCATACATACACCTTCCCATCTGACCCAATCCTATTGATTTTGGTCTCATCTGACCATATAACATGCTTCCAGTCCTCTACAGTCCAGTGTTGATGAGCTAAGGCAAAGGCTAGTCTTCTCTGCCTATGTTTGATGGAGAGAAGAGGCTTTTTCTTCTTTGTTACTGCCTTGAGATGAGCTGCCTTGAGAACATTCCTCACAGTTTGTGAAGAGACAGGGGTAGTGATGGTGGAATTGATATAATGGGTGGCTTGGACAGCATTATCAGCCTTTCCTGTAGTGATATGTTGGATAATAGCCCTTTTGTCAGTAGAGGTAAGCTTGGATGGACGTCCTCCACAAGAGTTTTCCTTGTCTGGGTGGCTTTCTTTGATGAACTTGGCCACAGTGGACTTGCATATTCCAGTTCTAGAGGAAATTTGGCGAGCAGAGAGGCCAGCATAAGACAGAGAGAGGATATTATCTCTTTGAGCAGAGGAGATGGCTTTCATGGTGATTATGACTATGATACATGAGATATTCTGGTTTATATAGTTAGATATAGTCATAAAATAACATAATGACACCACTTTATAATTTATATAATAGTGGCATGATTTTTATGGTGTCATAAATAATGATTTATATAGTTTTAATATACACTCAAAAAACTGTCCACATGAGTCATCATTTTATAAGCCTTATATCTCCACCATATCTCCGCCGATTCCCACGGTGTAGGGCTCAAATAAAAGCCCTGAAGCCATACTACAATGTGGTATAAGTATGTCCTTGAGGAATTTGTTCATTCTCACACAATATTATAGATAGTGAAAAATGTCAAAACATGCGGACAGTTTTTTGAGCCACTGTAGATGTCGGAGCATAAGTAATGTGTGAAGATGTCGATGACGGAAGTTGTGGTGCGGAGGCAGGATCTTCTAACTGCTGTAAGAAGTCGTCTTCCCAGGTGTGAGGTTGGGAAGCAGAGGGTAGAGTAGCAGTACCACTAGTAGCTAGGACTGAGCTCGTGCCGAAAACCTCCTGGTTGTAATAGTTGATCACACTCGTAGCCCATGGGCTGCGCTTGAATAGTCGCTCCAAGTAAAAATCAAAGTCTTGTGCATAGTCAATTTTCATGGCTGGTCCAGTTGCGGTGAGCTCTTGATCATGCGTTAACAAAAAACGCGCCTGAGAACGAGACGAGATCAGCATGCATTGCAAAAGTTCGAAGATTATACTAATGCACTCACCACAATAGCAGCACCTGCAATCAGACCTTCCGTGACACACTGCGTAGACCAACGCTGACCCCTGGCCTTCGGATGTCCTTTGGTCTTCCCAGACAGTGAAGCCTTCCCGAAGATTTCGACTCGGATGATCTGAGGGATGGAGTTAGTATTAATGTACTGCTCGACAGCAGCTGAAAACGTCGCGCACCTTGGCCATGACTGGTGTTTTGAGGAAGTCGTCTGGAACGAGAGCAGAAGGATCCAAGAACAGAACGGGGGCTAGACGTGTATACTTTTCTGCACCGACATCCTTCTTGAAAAGAGTGAGAAGTTGCGCATTCTCCTTCTTTTTGGCAGGCTCGTCAGTGAAGACAGTCGGGTCGAGTTTTAAAGTAGAGAAGATAAGACCAGCACAGTGCTTGAGACTATGCAGTATGTTTGACCTCTCAGAACTAACCGCAGCGCGAAACTAGAGTATCTCATGCGTAAGGGTTGATGCGCAGACAGAGGGAGAATCGGACATACCACTGATCCAAACTGTGGGTAGGTCTCCATCGGTTTATGCAAAGCCTTGGGAATGCACTGATATAGCTCGGCCATTGCACCATTGAGCTTCACTTCAGGTGAAGACCAACACATATTGCTGCGTGGATTAACGTCTGGCTGGGGTTTTGTCGGAAAGAGCCCGCTCATGACCCAAAAGTAGTTGAGCATGGCGTACATCTTGCCCGCACGGGTAATGTCATTGTCGATGGTTGATGTCTTCTTAAGGACTCGGTTTCGGCTGCGTGCAAGGATAGCAGCCTGAAGCATCGCATGGTCTTTCTTGAGAGCGCGCAACTCAGACCGAACCGCAGTATAAGCTTGTTGCGCCAGTTCTAGTGCCTAGAGATTCAACTGCTACATCAACCGAACCAAGAGAATGGCAGCATGAGTAAACTCACCTTGTGGACTTCGTGCATGGGCGCGTCAGGCTGAGGAATTGTCAAGACTGTCCTCAGGGTGTCGAGTTCGCTCCGTGCATCAAACTCGTTGTCTTGCTCATCATTTCCAGATTCGGACTCAGTATCCTCAATAGCGTCGAGTTCTGCTGCGAAGTCGTCTGAGGAATCTCCAGCCTGGGGCATGACAATGAAACTAAGACACAAGAAAGTTAAGTCTGAACAGTGGAGATGAGGCACAACAATTTCACTTGCCTGGTTCCATGTTATAAAGACGTGACCCTGCACAGGGCCAGTTGCTCCGCAGCGTCTTGCCGTCCTTGCTGTTGACATGCGGCATGTTTAGTTCAGCCTTGGCAAAGTCGACATGTAATAAAAGCTGCAGGTCGTTTGACTTAAGTACCGATTACTATCAAATGACTAATGACTCACCCTGATATCGGTCCAACTAGGAGTCAGTCTACCACGAGGGCAGTGTCCATACCATGGCTATTATGACATGTATTATTAGTGTAGTTAAGATAGAAAAACACGACAATTTGGACTTACAGTGGGACAGATACCGGAACATGCTGGGATTCGGCCTTGGGACGCGCTGGTGAGCCGGCCTGATTGGACTGGGAAGGATCAGCAGGGGAGACATCTGCATGTCTGTGGATTGATGTGCTGTGCCATTAAGTGTTGCAGTATTATTGGCAGCAATGCCGTTTGGTGCAGCGATCAGCCTGACTGAATCGCCATCTGACGTAGGAGTGCCAGCATGGTTTCCATTGACTCCGTTCGTGGAAGCGGCGCAAGGGGGTGAGGGCTGCTGCTGCACTACAGTAGGCGAACTCGGGGATGCAATATTCCCAACAACCGGAGGACGCATGGCACCGTTTGATGAGATGCGCATTTGCGGAATGGCAGATGGCGGTTGCATCGCTTTGACATGCGCCTGCATGAATATCGGTACATAGACTGGTGACGTCGTGGAAAGGAAATGTTGGGTGTTGATAAGCATTCTAAAACAAACAGGTAAGCGCTTGAAGAATGTACTGCATGTAGTCCTACCTCCACCACGTCCTCATACCCATGGTCATGTTCCTTTTGGGCTTCTTTGCTACTCTTTCTTTGTCGAATGAAAGCTCTTCGTCCTCTGAGAAGGCGTTTCGGGGGGGGGAGGGGTGTTGGAGGTGTTTGGAGGGTCGGTTAGCGAGGAATGGCACGTCGAACTTTGCCGATGATTTCGATGATTTCGCCCCTGCCTGTGCCTAAGCCCATGCTTGCGTTCGCAGTAGCAGTTAGTACCCAACGAGGGAAATTTGCGCTTGAGCTCGGCAAACTCAAAGTGCTTGTCCCAAACCTGTAGCGTTTGCTGTGTGTAGTCGCGCTTAAGATTTTCTCGACAAAGGAGTGTTTTGGCGAGCTCCAGACCCTGCATCAACTCGTAGATGTGGGAGAGCGGAGCTGAGCAGTGCATGGTGTGGGCAGAGGAGATGGCTGTGTCGTTGGAGATATGGGAGAGCGGAGCTGAGTATTGGTGCAGAGACACTTTTTCTGCGTCGAATACCGGCTCTGCGAATGTGGATTCAGCCTCAAGTGTAAGAGGGTTGACGTGAATAGTGTCCAGCAAGCCATTGATTGCCTGCCGACATTTGTGAAGAAGAGGTAGATCCATCAAGGCCAGCGCAAAATGTGCTGACCTCACCCTGGACAATACGTTCAGCTGATTCCCTTTCGCAAGTGGACCCAGGGCAACCCTTCTCCCGTGAGACCAACTCTGGGACCTTGGTGCGGATAGCTTCCAGATAACAGAGCGCTGTTTGTAGAACGCTGCCTGACGTCATGGTGCGGGAAGAGGAGATGGCTGTGTCGTTGGAGATATGGGAGAGTGGAGCTGAATCAGAGTGCAGTCAGACGAGGTGATGTTAAGAAAAGAGAGATCCACGTACATATCTGGACATTGTAGTTCTGATTCAGGGTGCTAGAGGTGGAAGTGAAATGGATGAGACATTGGAGCTCGTCACTGGCGTGCTGGACGTGACTTCATGCGCACAAACATGTCACTATCGATGTGGTCGACCACGAGGAATTCATCTC